ACCCAGGAGCAGGCCTTGCTGGGTGCTGCCTACAGGCCGCCCTTTCCTGCTCACTGATCGCCATGGGGTCCCGGCTGGGCACGGGGCTTAGGCGGCGCAGGGCTTAGGCAGCACACGGGGGTCCCGGCTGGGGGCGGGGCTGCACACAGGGCCCGGATGGCGGCTCGCACTGTCCCGCCCTGCCTGCAGTATGCAAATTAGCCGCCATCTTTGTTGGTGGCTAATTTGCATATCTCGCTGATTAGACAATGGGAGGCGTGGTGAAGGTACGGTCAGTTACCATCTTTGTCTATTATTAGATAGGACTAGAGGCCCAGTGCACAAAAATTTGTGCATGCGGGGGGGGGGGTCCTCAGCCTGGCCTGCGCTCTCTTGCAGTCCAGGACCCCTCAGGGGATGTCCACCTGCCAGCTTAGGCCTGCTTCCCAGGGGATCAGGCCTCAGCTGGCTCTCACACATCCCTCTGGCAGCCCGGGAGCCTTCAGGGGTTGTTCACCTGCCAGGTTAGGCCCGCTTCCTGGGGGATTGGGCATAAGCTGGCACTCACACATCCCTCTGGCAGCCTGGGAACCCTTGGGGGATGTCCAACTGATGGCTTAGGCCCACTTCTCTGGCCTAAGGCACAGTTAGACATTCTTAGTGCTGCCAAGGAGGTGGGAAGGGCTCCTGCCACTGCCACTACACTCGCAGCCATTAGCCTGGCTTATGGTTGAGCAGAGCTCCTCCGTGGGAGCGCACTGACCACCCAGGGGCAGCTCCTACATTGAGTGTCTGCCCCCTGGTGGTCAGTGTGCGTCATAGCGACCGGTCATTCCAGGTCATTCTGCCATTAGGGTTAATTTGCATATTACCCTTTTATTATATGGAATAGAGTTCTTATGGTGAATTTAGTTGAAGTGAATGTTTTCTTCCTTTCTTCTTAGTTTTTCCTTCTCATTTTTAAAATCTTTTTTTTTCCATTTTTTTTTTAGTTTTTTATTATTTTTTTTTTATTGCTTAAAGTATTACAAAGGGTATTACATATGTGTCCTTTTTTTTTTCCCCTGCCCTTGTCCATTTTTTTAATCTTCTTCCTTTCCCCCATCTCATCCTGGGGGATAAGGTAAATGAAATGAGAGAAAATATCAGCAGATATGCATTGAGAAATAATTCTCCCCTTATAAATTCTGGTTCTTTTTATAGCTGTATGTATACCTAGCATTTAACATTTTTTATAAAAGTTTAAATATGATGCTGTGATTTTTATGTACTGGATGGTTTTTATCTTCTGAATTTAATGGTCAGCGTGTCTCTCTGATTAATTGTCAGCGGATGGGAAACGTTTGGCATCTGTTGGAATAGATGAGAACCACACTGTTGTGCTGTGGGACTGGAAGAAAGGCGAGAAACTTTCAATAGCAAGGTAGGAAAAGGTTGATAGTACAATGCAAAATACTGAAATTACTTTGGGTTTAAAATTTAAAAAATTAAAATAGTTTTGAAATCAAGGAAACGTAACCTTTTTCTATTGCTGCCATCTTTTTCATCATTGAATAAGTAATGCAATCATAGTAAAAAGACTAATGTACATGTAATATGACATTGGAAATAGCTATTATCTAAAATTTCCATTTACAGGTAGAGTGAATTCTGTATAAGCTATTGCATAGCTATTGGAAAGCATGTTAAAATGCTCATATTATATATTTGCGTGAAAGAAGATATATACATACACACATTTCACAGAGGTTATAGATTTTTAAATCTTTTCTGTTATTTTCATTTTCTAAATTTTCTACAATGAGCATGTATTATTTTAATAATAAAAATATTAATTTCTTTGAAGTAGGAAATAGTCAAGTGTCAGATTATCTTTTTTTAACTTTTTGTTCCTCAAAGTGAGACATTAAAGCATTAAGAAAATACAGAAAAATGCTTTCTTTTAGACTATATAGACAATGCCCAAATAAAAGATAGTTTAAGAGCAACTTTGTATTTGGAAAGGCTATATTAAGCTAGAGCAAAGTATTTTTTAAAATAATCTTTAATTCATTCATGCCACAAATAGCATTCCCAATGCATAGTATTATATAGTAGGTATCATGCAAAAGAAGTTCAAATTTTAACTGTTCCTTTCTTTTAAGGTTCTGTTGATTAGAGTTAATAGTAAATTAAAATAATGATGAAATAATTTAGGTACAAATGCATGATTACATAGCCCAAACCTGAGAGTCATGTTGGCCAACCATTTAGTAATGGGGGAATCGAGATAGGGTATGGATTAGGCAGATTATCACAGGAGAGGTTTAGCTTAGAATTCAAACATTTTGGTATTTATTTATTTCAGAGGCAGTAAAGATAAGATTTTTGTCGTAAAGATGAATCCCTACGTGCCTGATAAATTGATTACGGCTGGAATTAAACACATGAAATTTTGGCGTAGAGCAGGTAAGGAAGTGCTTCTTTTTATTTCTTTGAAATTTAGAAGGTTCTTACTTCTATAATGGATCCTGGAACAGAAAAGAGAGTTGAAAAACAGGTGAAATCTGAATGAAGTCTAGAGTTCAGTTAATGGCAATACAGCAAACATGTTGGTTTCTTAGTTTTTGATAAGTAGTCTATTGGAATGTAAGATGTTAACATTTGGGGAAACAATAAGTATTGTATATGAAATCACCATGTTATCTTTGCATCTTTTATGAAAATATAAGATTATTCAAAATAAAAAGTTAATTTTTAAAAAAGTGATTCAGAGTTGCCTTGATACATTTTAAACAAATATAAGATTTATTTTATCATCATTTATTGGCTGCATTGATGTAGTATTCATATTTGCAAAAGGATGCAACTTATGAAATTAACCAAGTGATGTCTGAAGTCCTTTTTTGTTAAAGATATTTTTTAAAAATTCTTTATATGCTATGAAATGACATAGAAATGGACTTTATTACTTTAGTTATTTGTACCTGGAAATCAGTAACTGTGGAATTCACATTTTAAAATGAAAATGTCTCTTTTCCACATAGATTAGTATACTTTCAAATTCTAGCAATTTGACATCAAAGTCTCAGTACTCTTAAGCCTTTCAGATAAAATATGTAAATATAGGAAGAAGTGAAACATATATTAGGAAAGAAAAGGCTTTGTGAAGACATTTTCCAAGTTCAAGTAACTTTCAAATTGTAAACCACATAGAACACAAATCAGTTTTCAGGGATTTAATACTTCACAAAGTCATCTGATCATAGTGAATACACATTTACAAAGTAAAAGAAGTATTTTCATATTTGTAATTTTCATTCCTATTCATTTAAACAAAACTTTTAATTTGGGTGTCTTCGTTACTTGGAATTGCAATTACCAAGCACATAATGCTTATTATTTCTATCGAAAAGAGCTATAACTATTTTTGAAATAAGAGATTTAAAGAAAGTAAATAGCCTTAAAATGAAAAGATGTACAATTGAATAACTTCTTTCCTTAAGTTTGAGAAGACATATAGTAGACCTGAAACTGAATCATAAATGGATAAATGATAAGACTTTGGTGTGCTTTTCAGCCATCCTCACTTTTGGGGTTCTGATTCACAGAGTGTACTAGCCAAGTGGGAAATGATCACTTATTAGTCTAAGTGCTGCCTAACCCTCTAAATCAGTGGTTCTCAACCTTCCTAATGCTGCGACCCTTTAATACAGTTCCTCATGTTGTGGTGACCCCCAACCATAAAATTATTTTCGTTGCTACTTCATAACTGTAATTTTGCTACTGTTATGAATCGTAATGTAAATATCTGATATGTAGGATGTATTTTCATTGTTACAAATTGAACATAATTAAAGCATAGTGATTAATCACAAAAACAATATGTAATTATATATGTGTTTTCCGATGGTCTTAGGCGACCCCTGTGAAAGGGTCGTTCTACCCCCAAAGGGGTCGCGACCCACTGGTTGAGAACTCCTGCTCTAAATGCATAGCTTTATGTAAATTAAGTTAAAGATTACTTAAGCCTGAGGCTAAGGGGAGATTCTTACCTCCTATTCTGTATGTAGGCTTTGAGGATTCAAAGTTATGAATTATTAATCTCTCCTCTAAGGAATTTGAACTCTCCTCCATGGCTGGTGGGGGCAAGGAGCCACTGAAAGTTTTTCTAGTGCAACAGTGACATGACCTTGTTATACTGTGTGTGTCAGAAAACCGAACTAATGGTTGTCTAAACCAGGGGTAGCAAACTCTTTCTCTAAATGTCCAGAAAGTAACTATTTTAGACTTTCCAGGCCCAAGATCAAGCATATTGCATTGGTATTTATAGAACAAGAGAGAGAACTCCTGCCCTTGCCTTATCAGTTTGCACCCAGTGGCCTTTAACTGGAGACATTGTCTCCAAGATCAGCCTGCGATGGTGAAGGGGACTGGCAGGTTGGGGTGGGGACCATGTCAGCCTCCCTCTGTCTCAGTGACACATAGATCCTCCCGGAGAGGCCTGCCTTCTCAACGTGGGCAGCTGGCCAGCGGCAAGGCAGCTCCTAGACTGTGATTCCACTGTTAGGGGCCCAGCAGTTGCCATTAGCAAAGTCCTGTAGATGGTGACCAGCTCAAGCCCTGGGAGCTGCTATCTGGCAGCCAAAAGTCAGAGAGCAGAGAAGGAAACAGGCGTGGCCTCTGCAGCTCTCGGTGCAAAGCTGCTCCACTGGGAACCCTACAAAAGCAGGTGGTGGCAGGATGTGGCTCGGAGCCCAGAGTTTGCCACCCTGCTCTAGATGCATGGTCTACGCTCTAGTGAAGGCCAGCCCTCCCATGGGCACTAGATTCCTTCTCCTCTCACTTACTCAAGGACATCACTGCAAGCTCTTCGCCCCTTTCTCTCCCACATCATCCGTTTTTCCTCTACTGTCTTTCCTTTCAGCATTTAAGGCAGTGTTACTTCTCCCTCTTAAATAAGTAACTCAACAAAAACCTTTCAACTCTCCCCTCCTGTTATTAATCAATTTCTCTTCTTACCTATGTACTAAAACACCTCTGAACTATAGCTTATCCTTTCAATTGGAGATTTATGTCCAAGGTTGTGGTGTGGGTTTGATCCTCAGTCGAGGTGCATATGGGAAGCAACTGATGGATGTTTCTCTCACATCGATGTTTCTCTCTCTCTCTCCATCCATCCTTCCCTTCCTCTCTCTCAAAATCAAATATATCCTTGGGTGAGGGCTAAAAAAAAAAAAAAGGCTATGGCCGGAAGGCAACCCTAACTAACTCTAACTAACCCTAACTAAGTATGTCTGCCTCAGCCAGACAAGGTGTTGCTCAAGGCACTCATTGAGAAAACGTCTTTTTCTTTTTAACTCTTCTTTTTGTTACATGTCTTTCTATGTAAACAACAACAGAAGGAATTTTACTGTCTTATGTTATATATTTGAAAGTGGTACTTTCATCATATTTTTGTGACCCAGGGGGAGGATTGGTTGGCAGAAAAGGCTACATAGGCACACTGGGGAAGAATGAAACAATGATGTGTGCGGTGTATGGATGGACGGAAGAGATGGCTTTTTCTGGAACGTCCACAGGAGATGTGTGCATCTGGAGAGACATCTTTCTTGTAAAAACAGTTAAAGCACATGATGGGCCCGTGTTCAGTATGCATGCATTGGAAAAGGTAAGTCATCTAAAGATATCTTAAGTTCAACAGAATTTGATCCTGCAGTGTAGAGCATTTTAACAGGTAAAGGGACAGTGGCATTCAGCTTAGTTGAGCCACTCAGTAATAATCTGTGAGCGAGTCTACCTGACTTTGTTTTATTCCTCTTTCAAATGCCTGAACCCAGAGTGAAATAGGTCTGCTATTTTTAAAAAAAGTCTAAGTTAATATGTATTAATCACTTACTATGGGTCAAAAATTGTTTAAGTGCGTTATATATTATCACCATGCCCTTATAAGGTAGCTCCTGGTACTAACCTTTCTTTTTAAAGGATAGGATTATGAAGCCTCCAGGAGAATAGATGTGACCTGCTGAAAGTAGTAGCGCTACCTTATGGTTCCAGCTTACAAACTGTGCTTTTAAAGTCCTGTCCTAAAAGTTGCATGTATCGTGTCACTAAAAATTTTTGCAGGCTCCATATTGAAGTTTAAAAACATGCAGTGGATTCTTATACTAATTTCCATTTATTACAACCAGTAACTTTTACCTATAAATGTTCTTTCCTCTAGAATTTTTCAATACAAAGAGGCTTATTGTTTTTGAAATACTTGGATTTTTATTAACTTGACACCTTTACTTTTGTAGGGATTTGTTACTGGAGGAAAAGATGGTGTAGTCGCTCTTTGGGATGACTCCTTTGAGAGATGTCTCAAGACCTATGCTATAAAAAGAGCTGCTTTGGCCCCAGGATCTAAAGGTGATTTGAGATTTAATTTACTTTGTAGAAAAAAAGAGTAATGGCTCATTAACACCTGTGGTCACTGAGGTAGAGCACATGCAATAAATTGTTCCTTTGTTACTAGACAGGCATCAGAGCTAAATGGGAGAAGCCACTTAACTGAATGCTAGAATCACTGTTGTCCTTTTCAAACTGTTATCTGTGACATACGTGGTAAAACGTTAACCAAAAACAAGATTATTAGTGTTAATTTTTAACATTTTTAATTTTCCAAAGAAAATTGCCACCTGAACATCACATTTACCACCAATCAGGAGTTTGTTTGGTTTTCTCTCGGTGTTTTAGTGACCCTGCCTGTCCAGCCTTGCAGGCCCTCCTCTGCTTCACCCTTTCTCTCAGCACATTCAGCCACCGTATCACACTCTCTGACCTCCAGGCCTTTCTATATGCTAGTGCAGTTGTCCCCCCTTAGCCATAGTCTTACAGTTGCAGTTACCTGTGGTGAACATTGGTCTCAAAATATTAAATGGGAAATTTCAGAAATGAACAATTCGTAAGTGTTAGATTGGTGCTGTTCTGAGTAGCGTGATGACATCTCGTGCTCTTCTGCTCAGTGCTGCCTGGGATATGGATCTTTCCTCTGTCCAGAGTCGCCATGCTGTATATGCTCTCCACCCTTGAGTCACTTAACCACCTCGGCTATTAGATCCACTGTTGTAGAATCCGTTTTTGTGTTCAAGGAACCTTTATTTTACTTAATAATGGCCCCAAAGCACAAAAGTAGTAATGGGGCAACTCAGGCATGCCAAAAAGAAGCCATAAAAATGCTTCTTTTAAGTAAAAAGGCAAAAATTACTAATTGATAAGGCATTTTATCATCTCACATCATCACAAGAAGAAGGGTGAGTACAGTATAATACGATATTTAGAGAGAGACCACATTCACATAACTTTTATTATAGTGTATTGTTATAATTGTTCTATTTTATTATTGGCTATTGTTGCTAATCTCTTACTATGCCTAATTTATAAATTAAACTTTATCGTAAATATGTATGTATAGGAAGAAACATAGGGTTTGCTACTATCCGCAGTTTCAGACATCCACTGGGGGTCTTGGAACATATCCCCTGTGGGGGGGGGGCTAGATTTTGCCCTTCTCCCTTTTGCTCCCTCCAGTTACATGGCCGAATATTCATTTTTCAAATCTCAAACATTATTTCTTCTAGGATGATACCTTTCCTTCCCATTCTCCTTCCAAAAAAGGTGTTATTCCCTTACTGTATGCTCCTTTCTCAATATGCTTCTCATACAGACAGGGTCTGCTTTTCTCATTATATGCCCTGTGAGGGCAGGAGCTGGCTCTATCATGTTTACCCAGGTATTTCTGAAGCCTGCCTTAGGACACAGTAGACACAAATGGATTCATCTGAAATTGAGTTGAATTAAAATTACTAACCAGAATATTATACATGCTCTTAGAGGGTCAGAAAGTGGATACGGAGGTACAGATATAAAGGGAAAAGAAACCGTTATCAGAATGATAGTAGGGGATCTGGGATTATATAGAATCATACATTTGTAGTATATAGGTGGTATTTGCATTTGAGATTAGTAAATTGAATGGGGAAAATGCAATGCATTTATTAGAATACTTAAAATATAGGAGAAAGCAACCTTGTAATGTGATTTTCATTGTCAGAATAGCATCATTGGCAATACAGTATATAGCCTTGTACTATTCTAATTGATACCTAGAGGAACATTTACATTTAACGTTTCAGGTCTTCTCTTGGAAGATAACCCATCTATACGTGCCATATCGTTAGGACATGGTCATATTTTAGTTGGCACAAAGAATGGTGAAATACTAGAAGTGGATAAAAGTGGCCCAATAACACTTCTGGTTCAGGTAATTTCCCAAATGTTAATATGCTTTTTATCCCTTAATATACAGTTGATAAATACCTAAGAGCCTAAGTTGATAGTGGTGAAAATGATGTTAAATTAATTTGAGAAATATTTGTTAATGTTACTATATATCAAAAAATTTACATTTAATTATAGCTAAATGCATAGCTTCAGTAAATAAATGTGCATGATATCATGGGGATAATAGCCAATATTTTAAGTAATTTGTTATTGTAAAACAAACCAATGGAAAGAAAAAACAGTTTAGTTAATTTAACCCAGTGCATTTATTTCATGTTTAATTTTATTTCTTTGAGGTATATTTGTTGAACCTATGGCCATTGTTTTTCTGTGAAACTTCAGTTCACTTCATTCTTTCTCAAGTTTCTAACTTAGAAAACTTAAAAATGAATGTATGCTAAAAATGTACTGCTGAAAACATCAGTGAAAATGAAGGGTGGGGCTGAAGTAGGTTTACCGTAGTTTGTATGGAAAATTTCATAATAAATAATAATACAAGAATAAACTTTTGTGTATTCACAACTATAAGCCTACTTTTGCCCCACCCTGTATGTCAATAATAAAACAAAAAATCTAGAAATATATGCCTGGTGGTTTGGCTCAGTGGTTGAACAACAACCCAGGCACCAGGAGGTGGAGTTCAATTCCCCATCAGAGCACATGCCCAGGTTGCGGGCTCCATCCCCAGTAGGGGGCGTATAGGAGGCAGCTGATTGATTATTTTCTCTCATCATTGATGTATCTATCTCTCTCCCTTCCTCTCTCTGAAATTAATAAAAACCTTTTTTAAAATTCAGAAATATAAAAATGTGTGTGGTAGAAATGTAAAATGAAACAGCAGGGAATGCTGTACTAATTTTTCACATGTACATTTTCAATATGTATTGTTTTTTTGAAAAGTAGGGAGGGAAATAAATTGACAGCGTAAAATACACTAAGTGAGGTAGGCTCTACCCCAGCGATTTTCAACCTTTTTCATCTCATGGCACACATAAACTAATTACTAAAATTCTTTGGCACACCAAGAAATATATTTTTTGCCAATCTGACAAAAAAAATAAGTATAGTTTTGTTTCATTTACACAGGAAAACTATTGTGTTGGCTGTTGTCATTTTTTTTTATTTGACAATCCAAGGGAAAAGAGTCAGTGAGACTGACTAAATGGTCAGGTATTGCATGTTCTAAAAAATCCTTGCTGCGCACCAATTGAAAATCGCTGATTTACCCTAATGAAAAATTGCCCTCATGCAACTCTATATAGTAACACCAATTTTGGGTTTGCCTTTTACCCTTAAAAATAATTATGTCCTTTCTTAATACAGACTTTTTTTTCTCTAACCTTCACTTCACTCCTGTTAAGATACCAAAGAAGACACATAGATGAGAATATTGCACATACTTCAATGTTAATATACTATCCTGATGTACCAAGGAGAATTTATAAGCAAATAACATATTTTATATTAAATTAACTGTCAAACTTTCATGTCTTATACTTTAATTTTAGTCACATCATATTCCATTGAAGTAAAGAGATGATGGCATCATGGTGTTTAACATGTTTATGATTTCTTGGAAAATAATAACATAAGTACACTTCTACAGATAAATCCATAGATGGAACTACTAAAACACATACCCACACATAATTTCATAATTATAAAATGACACCCTAATATTTTTATATTTATTATAGAGTTTAAGGTTTCAAATATACTCTTAGGCATTAGGAACAAGATAAGGATACCAGTTCTCACCATTATTGTCCAACTCTGTATTGGGTTTTAGCAAGTTTAGTAAAACAAAACAAAATTAAAAAAAGGTATGTTAGAAACAATACTGTCAATATTTGAAGAAATTATAACCCTATACATTGACTATTCAAGAGAATAAACTGAAAATTTAGTAGAACTTATTAAGAACTTATGTGCAAAATCAACACATAAAAATCAATATAGTATTTCTATATATTAGCAATAACCAGTTAGAAAATATGAAACAAAAAGGGTACTCATAAAGAAAACTATACAAATAATCAGGAAAAAAATACCGATAAAAATATGCAAGGCCTGTATTAAGAAAAGTATACAGTTTTACTAAAGACATAAAAGAACTGAGTAAATTATAAATTCAGTATGATCATAATCTAAATCCTAATGAAATTTTTTTACAGATTCTGAGACTAAAAAATATTTTAAAGTGGTCAAGAAATTTTTGAGAAACTCTTCATGCTAGAAATAAATATAAAACTGTAGTAATTAAAAGTGTAGCAATGTATGTATACAATAGGAGAATTCGTATGTATATACCAAAAAGTATGGACAGCAATATTAGTAGCAGCAGAATCCTGTAGATCAGTGTGGGAAGTGTGCCTGTTAACATTATCAAGTACTGTAATCCATGAACATGGGATCTCTCCATTTACTTAGATCTTTAACTTTTTCAACAGTGTTTTATAATTTTCAGTGTACAAGTCCCATATTTATTTTATTAAAGTGACTTATTTATTCTAATAGTTTTTTAGTGGATTTTTTTAGGATTTTCGGTACACAAGATTGTGTCATCTGCAAATAGAGATCGTTTTACTTCCCCCTTTTTAATTTGGATGCCTATTTCTTTTTCTTGCCTAATTAGTGACCGGACTCTCTGCAAATGTTGAATAGAAGTAGTGAGAGCAGACATCCTTGTCGTGTTCCTAATTTTAGGGAGGACGCCTCCAATCTCACACCATTAACTCCAGTGTTAACTATGGATTTTTCGGAGATGCCCCTTGTCAGATTGAGGAATTATTCTTTTCTTCCAAGTTTGTCTCATGTTTTTCTCCAAAGTAGTTGTCAAATGCTTTTTCTCTATCGAAATTATCATGTGGTTTTGATTTTTTATTTTATTGATAATGATGTATTACGTTAATTGGTTTTCAGATTTTAAACCAACGTTGCATTCCTGGTATGAATTCCATTTGGTTGTGGTGTATCATTCTATAATGAAATTAGTTTGCCAGTAGTTCATACGGGATATTGGCCTGTAGTTCTCTTGTGGTGTCTATCTGGTATTGGTATTAGGGTAATATTGGCTTCATACAATGATTGGGGGAGTGTTCTTTCCTCTGGAGGCCTCTTTTCCTGAACACTACCAGCCGTTAAGGCTCTATTGTCTTCAACATTTCCCTGGAACATAAATTGCCCCACAGACTAAACCAATTAAATTCAGGCTTCTTAAAAGGAACAGTTCCCTAGGTTAGTGTGGGATTTTTTTTGTTGTTGTTTATTTTTTTACTTTTTAAGCAGTCTCCTCTCAGCTATCCCTGAGTTTTCGCTGCTTCTCTTGGATAAGCTAGCTGACTTTTGGTTTAGTCTGTATGTCCCTGGAGTCTATCAGTTACATTTCATCACCACCTGTTGCCTCCATAGTTTTTGAGACCACCTCTAGGCCAGAACTTTTCCACATTAGCAGTAAATAACATCAAGTCCTTTGAGAAGAGATTAAAAGCTCTTTTATGGCTTTCTTCTCACCCCAGTCAAAACCTCTATCCAAGGCTCTGGAGTTGAGGGCGAGGACAATGGAGTGCTCTTTCCTTTAGAAGCTGAGTGCTTGGTGTGTGTGTTGGGGGCGGGGGGGGGCGGTTGGGGAGAGCAGTACCTTCAGGTCTTACTGGTTGACACTGAGGTCTCAGTATGCTCAGGGGAACTGCAGCCGGGGTTGGGCAACATTTCAGAGTGAGGATCTGGAGTTGAGGGCGAGGACAATGGAGTGCTCTTTCCTTTAGAAGCTGAGTGCTTGGTGTGTGTGTTGGGGGCGGGGGGGGGCGGTTGGGGAGAGCAGTACCTTCAGGTCTTACTGGTTGACACTGATGTCTCAGTATGCTCAGGGGCACTGCAGCCGGGGTAGGGCAACATTTCAGAGTGAGGGTGGGCAGAAGGGGGGAGACCCCACCTCTGAGCAGCACCTGCATCGGTAGCAGATACTGGGGGCAGGGTGAGAAATGCTGGCACCTGCCCCTTCTGGGAAGATACCCTCTAACTAATAACTGGTGAATAGGAGGGGGAGTGTCCTTGGTTTCCTCGTCTGTTGTGGAGCTTCCACATCAGTGAGTTAGGAAGAGGGAGAAGAGGATGGGTCTCAGTTCCAATACTGCAGACGCTCACTGTTCATTTCAATTTTCTGAGTAAATGTTGCTTCACTTGTTGCTTTTCCTTGGAACCATATCCAGAGACTTGAAATGTGTGGTGTATTTTTATTATTATTTTCACCACATTTACTGGTGAGGAGGTCTGTGGAACTCCTTACTCTGTCATGCAGGCTGTTCCCCCTACGTGGCCTTTATTAACATTCGAGGGCAGCCAATTTCTACTTTCTTCCTCCAGTGAATGTTTTAGGATTTTAAGCTACTTTTCACAGTAGCTTGATTGTATTGTAATTGTGGAGATAAAGTTGATAAAGGTGTTTTATAGTGTGTTCCGAAGATAAAGAGAAAAGTTTTAGTAGACTTACTCATTATTCATTGTTCTATCATTATCACATATTATCAAAAGTTGTCTTTAGTTGTTTTCTAAATCCACATAGCTTTAGGTTAAATTTATCTTAACTATGTTTTCTATATAGGGACACATGGAAGGAGAAGTGTGGGGTTTGGCCACACACCCTTATCTGCCCATCTGTGCTACTGTAAGTGATGACAAAACCTTGAGAATATGGGATCTCTCTCCTAGTCACTGTATGCTGGCTGTCCGGAAACTGAAAAAGGGTAAGAGGCTCTCAGACTTGAACATAGAATAAGTTGTCACAATTTTTTATAGCCCTCACAAATGTAAGAAAGCAATGGTCAGTATATTATAAAAGACTAAATATCCATTCTATGTCCACGTGATCATGATGCTATATAAACAAAATTAATTATACCCAGTCTTTGCTTTATGGGACCTCCTGTGCTTATGCCTATCCTGAGCCAGTTTTCAGCTGGTTTGTGTTGGAAGAAAGAATATAGGACGAAACAGAAGCTAAGCTTTCTACCCTTTATGACTGTGGAGTATGTGTAATTCAGAATTAAAAACTAAGAAAGAACGCCTTAACTTAAAAAGGTGTAGCAGAGGGGGGAAATGGGACATATCTGTAATACTATCAACAATAAAAAATATATTTAAAAAAAAAAGGAGTAGCAGAGTTGATGGGAGGATATTTTAGGGTGAAACAGAACTGAGTACATTTGTAGGAGGTAAATGAGGCTGGCCTATCAGGGGGTAGAGAGGCAGAGGGTTCAGTTGATGGAGCAATGGTGTTTCTATGAGGGCCGATGAGGATCTACAGAGCGCTTCAGATTTTTTAGTAAAGTGGTAGGGAATGTTATTTTATAGTATGAGGATAATTATAGGCGGAACACTGGTTGAAAAAGTTAGAAATTGTGAGCAATGTGATAGAATCAGTAGATGAAGGGCAGGATCTGTCTGTACTAAGGGCCTGCTGAAGTTATGTAACATGTAACATGAATTTGTAATTCAGTCGTTAATAAATTTACTTTTACTTCCTTCTACTAACTTAAAAGTTACAGAGTCTATCCTCTTCTTCTAGGGTTACTGTTAAATATTTAACATGTATCCTTAACAAAATCTGAAGCTAATCACAATCTCCAGAACACTTGAACTCCAGCCACTGTACTTCCTTTTTTTAAAGTTATTGATGTGCAGCCTTTTCATTCTTTGGTGGTTTGTTTGTTGGCAAGAATTAGAGAGAATTACCAAATATTTCAGTGGTTCTGTACCACTGAATTATAAATGTGAAAGTTAAAACGGATTCCAAAACCACAGTCACACTTCTGTGTACACAGAAAAACCATGTTACCAAATATTCTTTTCTTCACAGGGCCCTAGGAAGTCCTGATTAGTCAAATTTGGACCATACTTGGTTTTAACACCCATCAGATTTTCTTTCTTTTTTTTGAATGAAATATAATTGACATATAACATTGCGTTAGTTTTGGATATACAGTGATTTGGTATTTGTATATAATGTAAAATGATCACAATAAATTTAGTTAACATATACATCACCATACAGAGTTACAAAAATTTGTTTATTGTGCTGAGATCGTTAAGGTCTGTTATCTCAGTAATTTTCAATTATGGAATACAGTGTTATTAGCTGTACATTACACCCCCATGGCTTATTTTATAACTGGAAGTTTGTACCTTTTGACTTCCTTCACCCATTTTGCCCACCCCCAAGTTCTCTGTATCTATGAGCTTTGGGTTTGTTGTTTGTTTTAGATTTCACATGTAAGGGAGATCGTATGGTATTTGGATTTCTCTTCTCACTTACTTTAGTATTAGCAGCACAATGCCTTCAAGGTTCATCCATGTTGTTGTAAATGGCAAGATTTCACTCTTTGTGATGGCTATTTAAATAATAGCTCATTGTGTGTGTGTGTGTGTGTGTGTGTGTGTGTGTGTGAGAGAGAGAGAGAGAGAGAGAGAGAGAGAGAGAGAAGGAGAGAGAAATACATTTTCTTTATCCATTCACCCATCAGTGAACCCTTTGGTGGTTTTCATATTTTGACTATTGTAAATAATGCTGCAGTGAATAGAGGAGTACATACATATTTTTAAGTTAGTGTTTTTGCTTTTTCAGGTAAATACTCAGGAGAAGAATTGCCTCATTATATGGTAGTTTTACTTTTTATTTTTTTTAGAATTTCTGGGTTTTTTAATCCACTTCAATTGGATATTATTGTTTTATGCAGTCAGAGTTTACTTAGGTTATCTATGCTTATACATTTCTTTGTTCACCTTTTCTTCTTATATCTCAGACTTTTTTCTTGTATCAGTTTCTTTCTTCCTAAAATACAGTCTTAGAGTTCTTCAATAAAGATTTGTTGGAAATTCCTTCAGCTTCCTTTGTCCAAACCAGTGGCATAGTAAGAACAGACTGGTGGGAGTGGTCCATTCTGGCAGCTGAATTATTTTATAACTGACATCACAATTTTTAAAAAGCAAACTCTTTTTATTCAGTTTTATTATTGTTGTTTTAAATTCTCAGTAGGCAATGCATTGCCACTCAGGGTGGACTATTGCCACCACCCTGCCCTTAGTACTCTACAGTCTGAACATGTTTTGATTTTTTACTTTCATTCTTTTTTTTTTTAAAATATATTTTATTGATTTTTTACAGAGAGGAAGAGAGAGGGATAGAGAGTCAGAAACATCGATGAGAGAGAAACATCGACCAGCTGCCTCCTGCACATCTCCTACTGGGGGTGTGCCCGCAACCAACGTACATGCCCTTGACCGGAATCGAACCCGGGACCTCTCAGTCCGCAGGCCGACGCTCTATCCACTGAGCCAAACCGGTTTCGGCTACTTTCATTCTTAAATGTTAATTTAACTGCTTCTGGAGTTCTTAGTTGAGAGTTATAATCCCTCTGGTTTCTACTATCTCTTTTACTTTGTTGTATAGTTCTGTAATTTAATAAAATCATGAATGTATGCATTTTATTTTAATGTATTCTGTTTAGGATTTGGCATGCTTCCTAACTCTATGGATTTATGTCTTGTATAAGTCCTGAAGAATTGTCTGCCAAAAGTACTGGCTCCTTTTAGGACTGGATCTTTATATTAGACTAGAGGCCCAGTGCACGAAATTTGTGCACTGGTAGGCTCCCTAGAGGCTGCCAGCTGCTGGCCCAGGACTCTCTCCCTTCCCCCAGCCAGCCCCACCCCCTGCTGGAACTCCTGGACGAACTCCCAGTCGAGGGGACAATTTGCATACTATGCTTTTATTATATAAGATTGCAGAGGAGAGTCATGATTCTGTATTTTTGTTTTTACATGTTCTTCTCTAACCACTTTTTAAAAATGTTATCATTGATTCAAGAGGAAGTCAGGTGGATTTTTATAACTGCAAAGGGATATGTATGGTTTTATACTGGTTGAGTTAATTATAACAAAATTACTGAAGTTATAGTGGTTTAAATATTATAAAACACAGTTATTGCTTTCAAACATTCAGTAAGCAAATGCAATTTTCTTTTGTAAATGAATATATAGACTTATGGTCCTGAGGCTTAACATTTTATTTTAAAAGTCATTATAGTTAATGTAGACCATCTTATGAGAATTTTGCCAAAAAAATAATTCAATTTTATAGTAACTAGTTATAGAATAACCAGAAGTTTGAATATGCAGCATGAATAATGTCCATATTCTTGATGTCTGTTAATACTTTCTGAATATTTTCTAGCCTTTTATACGTATATGAGTAATGGTGTATTGGAAAGTTCCTGTTAGAAATTTTTATCCCCTGGCTTCAGCTGTTAATTATAATCAAACCTGAATTTTTAATAGACTTTTTATTTTTTACTTCTACACTATTATTTTATGTCTTGGCTAATTTTGTATTTTCTTTCTGTCTCTCTGTGTAGTGTTCTGGAAATTTTCTTAAGATATTTATTCTAGCTCTGACATTTTTTTTTTATAGCACCGTCTGTTTTACCTACCCATTCTGTATTTAATTTTGATAATTCTCATTTTTAGGACTTCTGTGTGTTTTCATATTTGCCTTAGATTTTTTATATTATTCCTTACTTATATTTTATATTTTCTCCTTTATGCCTTTAATCTTATCTAATCAGATAAAGAATCTAAAATGTAGTTATTTGCCCAGCCAGTGTTGTTCAGTGCTTGAGTGTCAACCCATGAACCTGGAGGTCACTGTTCAATTCTAAGTCAGGACACATGCCCAGGTTTCGGGCTCGATCCCCACTCGGTGGCCTGCAGGAGGCAGCCTATCAATGATTCTCTCTCCCTCTCCTTTCCTCTCTCTGAAGTCAATAAAAACATATATTTTTTAAAAATGTAATTATCTGACAGCCTTGCAGATCTGACCACGCTGTGTTTTTCTTTCTGCTGTTTTGAGATTATTTTCCTGCTGACTCCATCCTGGCAGTCCATTTTCTTGTGTGCTTGAAAATTTGGATTTTAAGTTCATGTTTGGTTGCTTTCTTTACCAGTGGGAATCCTCTGAGGTCTGAATTGAAGGTGTGTTCTTCTGGAGATTTTGCATTTTCTTCTGCCACGTGCCTGGGGTGCTACCATCCAGAACTACTAACAATTAATTTCTTTGACTGGGATTGCTTAGAACATGTCAATATTATAGCTTCAAATCTATGATCTACACAAGCCACCCCTGTTTGTGAATTCTCAAGTATGATTTTTCACCTCCTCTAGCACCCAAGCCAGGGTAGACACATCTATGACTTTCTTTTCTGCCAGGCACATTTTTTTAAAGTCTATTCTTCCCTTGAGATGCATTGTATTTCTGGAGCAAAATGACAATACAGGTATTTGGAGGATATTTTTTGACACACACACACACAAATTATGTAATTAAATATTTGTATTTTATTTCTTAAGGTATTTACAAATCAAAAGAAAAGTTATGAAAGTAAAAATCAGTGAAACTAAATAGTATATTTGAATACAGAATTTGTAAACATAAGTAATCGAGTTAACCCAGTTCTAAATTTTCTCTTTCATCTTCATATAACATGATCTCTTCTGTGATAGCTTTGAGGACATTTTTTTAATAACTTTTTTTTTTCATGGGAACTACAGTATGTAGTTCTTCTGTTGATAGCAAGCTATGTTTGTTTCAAAGAAAGCATTTCCAATCCTCTTTGTCTTTAGATTTGTGATTTATGGAAGGAAATTCTAATTCATTGTTATTATGTCTAATATGGGTTGAATTGTGTTCCCC